CTAGAGCTTCTAGGCTCCAGAACCATGAGATGATAAATTTCTGTTCTTTAAGCCACTCAATGTGTGGTACTTTGTTACAGCCCTAGCAAACTAATACAGGTGACTTGCCTTATAATGTACAGTGATGAAAAACAAAATCAGGTTCAACACCCAGCTTTCCAGACTCTAATATTCATGGGGCTTTCCAACTCACTACAATGCCTTACAAATTAACTCCCGGATTTCACTCAGATCTCTCCCACAAAAACACGATACTTGTTCAACTTGTTAAGAACCATGCTAGCCGGGCTGGGCGTGGCTTAGCGGTTGAGCATCGACCTAGGATCCAGGAGATCACGGTTTGATTCCAGGTCAGGACACGTGCCCGGGTTGTGGGCTCGATCCCCAGTCGGGGGCATGCAGGAGGCAGCCGATCAGTGACTCTCTCATCACTGATGTTTCTCTCTCTCCCTCTCTCTTCCTCTCTGAAATCGATAAAGATATATTTTAAAAAAACAAAAACCATGCTAAATATATCCTACTTAGGCTGCACTCTTGGGAGCTACACTGCCACATCGCCAACAAGCACTATCATAATAGATGGCTCATGAACTCAAAATACCTAAAATCCAAATCAACTACCCCTCAAAGTTAGCAGGACACTGTTTTGATCTAAGAACATCTAGGTATAAGATCCAACTCCTCAGACAAGTCATCTAACCTCTCTGAGCCTCAATTCCATATTTATAATACAGATTCTATAAACAATATAAATCCTATACAAAAAACAGTAACAACAAACCTTCAATGAGCTAATGTGAAGATTAAATTGGATAATAGCCCTTTCAAACTGTAAAGTGTTAAAAGAAGTTCTCCAGAGAATCACAAACTATTTCTCCCTGTGGCATCATCTTTTTATTCAGTCAATCTCAAAACCATTGATATTTCCCTTTCAAATCATCTATAACCAATAATTCACCTTGCTCTGACAATTCATTCTCTACCCATCTTTTTTTGTGACTACTTTCCAATAAACCTGAGTCCTAATAAATCTGCACTACTTTGAATAACTGATTTATCAGCTTCCATATTCCTTCTTATCTAATTTATATCATATCCTAATATCAGATTTAGCTTTCTAATACATTCAGCTCAAAGTTCTTCAGAGACTCTCCAACATGCAAAATGTCCCAGCTACACAGCCAACCCTGCATTCTACAACAGAACTGAATCCCAGCCACAGTTCCTAAGCTTATTTCAAGACTTAACCATGTGCCCAAGGGCCTTGCTTCATATCCAGGCAGCATAAACAGCTCATCAACAGCCTCAATTGACCCTAGCTGCTTCTTTCCTTGAACTTCCCATTGAGGGACCCAACTGTCACAGCTGGATCCAATAAAGTCATTATGAACTGTCTACTAACAGGCACCAACAGCAAGGTTAGGCTGGTTAATTCCACGGAACAGGCTTACTACTCAATTTCATTTTCCCCCTGCTTTTCTCTAGGTCAGGCATCTCTTTGCCACTCTCTTCCTTAATATTCAGGGTCTACCATAAGCAAATTCAATAGCACTCTTAACCTTGCCTCCCTCCTTAGCTCAAGTGGAACCCACGGCTCCATCTCGGCCAGTGGTTTCCAATCTCATCAGACCCAATATCCTCTTTATATAACAAATGCTACAATGAAATGAAATTCATAGATAATAGGGTCTGTGTGCACACATAATTTCAGATATTTATATATAGAATTTCAAATATATATCAATACATAAAATGTAAAAGAAATAAAAAATAACTTATAATAAAAGATGTATTTAAATATATAAATAAAGGAGGTACAACTACACTGCAAATCATGATAGAGTGGTGCTCACATCTATATATAGAATAAGCCTGAACACAACCACTACAAATTCAGACTGTTTGAAAGTGTTACATTAGTGACTTAATTAACACAAGCAATATTGCCATTAGATAAGTAACTTTCCAAAATGGCAAACAAATTCTAGTAAAATTTTAAATAAAACAAAATATAATTTTTCTTCCATTTACACGGTAGTTATATTCCCAGAAAATTTGGTACATATTAAATGTATGCAGAGCATGCTTTGGGTTTATACATTAAATAGTTGGCAAATAGCCTAAGACAAATATAAACAGGTTTTCACCTGCATGAATGCCCAGTAGGACATTCAAAAGGCTTATGGGACATAAAACAACTATTCATTGTATTAAAGCAGGGGTTGAGAAACTTTGTAAAGGGCAGACAGTAATCACTTTAGGTTTTGTGGACCATGTACTTCGTCACAACCACTTGATTCTGAAAAAGGAGCCACATACAATACATAAACAAATAGGAGTGTTGCATTCAAATAAAAGCTTATTTTAAAAAACTGGCAGAGGGACTTAGATTGCAGTTTCCTACTTCTGTATTAGTGTCCTACATATTGCAGAGTGTCCAGCTCTGCACTAAATGTCAATTGCACTATCCAATTATTGTGATGATACCTTCTATGGAGCAATAACCATCCCATCCTCCCACATCCACCAAATGAGAACTCCTGACCCAGTCACTGTACCTGAGCTTTCTGGTCTCAGCTCCCTCTATACCTCTCCGGAATGCAACTTGTCTTTAATCTGCTCTTCACTGCTTATCTCTCTTATGCCTAATTCAAGGCCCACCTGACACCTTACCTCCCTTGACTAATGGAGGAATTTACTTAAAACTTACAATATTTTAGAAATGATTTGGCACTAAAAATGCCACCTAATATTATTTCTCAGATTATTATCTGTATGTTCTGTCTCCCACCTGGAAGGCAGATTCCTTGAGGGCAGAGTCTGTGTCTAATACTCTATAGTCGCTCAATGATTTTCCTTAAGTCACTCAATAAATATTATGATTACCATGCTACATGTTGAGGATATAGCAGTGAACAATCCAATAAGGTCCCTGATCTCACTAAGATTATATACAAGTAGAGAGGAGTGAAAATAATTAATTTCAGATTCCAATAAGAACTATAAAGAAAACAGGGTGCTGACATGGAGAATAAAAATGCATAAGATGATGGTCAGCTGCTATTTTAGATATAACAGTAAAAGGAAATTTATCTGAAAAGAAAACATCTGAATTGACACCTGGCACATGAGAAGAGCCAGAGAAGAGCACTCTGGGAATGGGGAACACATGTGTAAAATCCCTGACATAGCAAATCTTGTAGCATGTTTTGGGGAAAAACAGGCCATTCAGTACTTGAAACTGAGGCTGGCCATAAAGATAAAGAAAGCAGACAGATCTGAGACATGTTTTAGTCAAGTAACTTACAGGACTCCTTCATGGGCAAGATTTAGGAAGGAGGAATACTGGGTGCTGCTATTGCTAATATTGGGTGAAAATGATTTGAGTGATGGAGGGGAAAAAGAGTTCCTTTGGATATGTTAAGTTCGAGATGACTGTTACACATTGACTGACTATTCGAGATTGAAACAGCCTTGCATTCCTGAAAGAAACCTCACTTGGCAGTGATATATTATCCTTCTTATATATTACTGGATTCAAGAGGAAATGCCAGGTAATGGATATATGAGAATGGAGACAAAGACAAGGTCTTCGCTAAAGGGAGACATGTATAAGTCATCAGCTTAGAGTTGCTATTTAAATTCTTGAAATAATAAAATCACATTGGAAAGAGTGCTGATTAGAGAAAAGAAGGCCCTTTCCCTGTCCTTAAACTCCCTAATATTTAGAAAAGGAACCAGCACAACAGAAAGAGAAAAAACTACCTACTCGAAAGGTCTGGTGTCACAGGGGAGAATGTTTCAACCATGTATGATCTGCTAAAAGGTTTAGCAAATTAAGAAGAAGAGGCGTCTATTTTATTTGGTAAGAAGGAGGTCATTGATTAACTTTATAAGAACATTTTCAGCTAAGTAGGAATTATGGAAACCAAACTGAAGTGGAATAAAAAAGAAAATGAAAGATAAAACCAGAAAAAAGACTTTCAAAAATAATTTAAATCATAAAAATAGTTGTGGAAAACAAACCAGTAATGGACTACATTTAGCTCATCAATACCTTAATAACACTATTACAGTAAATCGTTGATATTCATACCTCACTGTAGATTACCAGAACAAGTAGCTGTGGTTCCTTCAGTGCAAAAATAATTTGTACTTTCAAAAATGTAGTAGAGGTAGAGCTTTTAACACTAAAAGCTCTGAAACTGAACTTAAAACTTCCCGGTAATAAAAGAAGATATTATCTTGGAGTACAGATACTATGCAGGAAGTAATAAAGCAAAAGACAGAGCAATTGTATTTAATAAAAACTTAAATGTAACAAGTAACTACATTGTAAAAGGAATTTCTAGAAAAATGTCAGAACAAAAGAAAATATAACATAAATGATGCTAATATATAAAGAGTATGTATAAGTCAATAAGAAAAATCAATAGAAAATGTAGTAAGGGATAGAACAAAGAAATCAAAAACGAATATAAATGAGTAATAAGAGTATGATCCCCTTTTATCTATCTATTTATTTATTTAGAAAGAAGGAGGGGAGGAAACATTGATGTGATAGAGGAACATCGATCCATTGCCTCCTATATGTGGCCTGACCAGAGGATCAAACCCACAACCTAGGTATGTGCCCTGACCGGGAACTGAACACACAACCTTTTTGGCGTATAGGATGACGCTCTGACCAACTGAGCCACTAGGCCAGGGCTGATCCCTCATTTTAAGGACTTTCCTGAAAAGTCATAAATACAGAGTAATGCTAGATTAATATGTACCTTAGGAGCTCTGCAAACCAAATCAGATAGATAGTCTCATTTTATATAGCACGACTTGATATGATTGCAAGAGGTACTGATCTTTAAATTTCCGCTTACACATTCCAATAAGAGATAAAACCATATAATTTTAAAACTCATCATATTCAGAGGTGCATAATATTTAAACAGCTACAGGTATCATGTAAACACAAAAGCAAAGATAACAAAAGAAATGCCCACCTTCCCTGATAGCTGTAAAAGGTGTCCCTTCTTCTTCTTGCAGCCTGATCACCTTCAGGGCTACCAACTTCCCATTTACCCTGGAAAAGAAGGAAAGAAAAAATGAGAGGCAAATCCATGAAAATCTGTTCCTGTTATGGTTCTAATTTTCTTCCTTACCATTTATATTTTTGCACTGAAAATGTCAGGGACTCAATTATGCCGCCACAACAAGATTAATTTCAGTCAGGCTGGGAATTCTATATCATCATCATCATAAATATTCACACTTTAAATACTCCATTTCAAATACTCACACTTGCATAGTCCAAAATTTAACTGAAGTTTTCTCTGATTCACTCTATGTTCCTTCCAGAATGAAACTAGTGCTTAACAAAATCACCGTCCTCCATGCTCCATCAATTACTCTCAGATTAATTAAAAATAGAGCAGTCAAAATAACATTCTTTGTTTCTCCAATAGCTCCTTTGTTTCTTTTGCTGAAATGTCTTCATCTTCAGTCCTAAACTGAAGTCATTCAGTCCCAAGGACAGAAACTTGATACTCAGCCTTCCCTCTACCTTCTTCCTTCCTCCCTTTCCTTCTGCCCTCCCCTTTTTCCTCCCTCCCTTTCAATATCAACCATGCCTCCCTTTTCAAGATTTTTTTTCTTACCAGAGCATCCTAAAATTACATTTGGTCTGATTGTGTTTTATAATACAGTGTATCATCAAAATAAAAATTATGACTATTTTACTATTACAAGGTTACACAAGACCTATACAAAGCAGATGGTTCTTCCAGATGCATTCTAAATGGGTATCAGCTCTAATTAAAAGTAAGAATGCACTAGGCAGATAACTTTTATCCGGTTGATTCTGTTAGTCTTCTAATCGAATGCTTTTTCTTTTTGTTTTTCATTTTTTAAATATGTTTTTATTGATTTTTAGAGAGAGAGGAAAGGAAAGGAATAGAGAGACAGAAACATCAATGAGAGAGAAACATCATCGAGTGACTGCCTTCTGCACGCCCCCCACCAGGGATCGAGCCTACAAACTGGGCATGTGCCCTGACCGGGAGTCAAACCAGTGACCTCCTGGCTCATCGATGGACGCTCAGCCACTGAGCTAGACTGGCCAGGCTGAATGCTCTACTTTCTTTACTGGGCCTACACGCACACATTAAAAATTTTGTAAAGATACAAAAAGGCATTTGATGAAAAAGTCAATCTCCCTGCCACATCCTTCTCAGCCACCCAGCTCCCATCCTCTGAGGTCACCACTTACTATTATTCATGTATACTTAAACACACACACACACACACACACACACACACACACTCACACACATACAGGTGTGGGCAAAAACAAGTTTACAGTTTTTCATATGGAAAACAATACAATAATAAATAACAATACAAGAATTAACTCTGGCCCTGGCTAGTGGGGCTCAGTTGGTTCAAGTGTCATCCCATGCACGGAAAGGTTGTGGGTTCAATTCCCAGTCAGGGCACATACCGAGGCTGCAGGTTCAATCCCCAGTGGGAGGACAAGTGGGAAGCAACCAATTGATGTCTCACTCATACATCAATGTTTTTCTCTCATTCTCTCTTTCCCTTCCCTGCTCTCTAAAATCAGTAAAAACATATCCTCCAGTGAGGATTAAAAAAAATTATAAACTCTGTTTCACATATTCACAATTATAAACCTACTTTTGCCCATCCCATACACACACACACACACACACATAGAATACATACACACGTGTACATACACAAATGGTAGTATGCCATACAGAGTACACTGAATATAGTTTTTATCCCTTAATATATTTTGGTGACTTCCTCTTAAATTCATGGAAAACTGTATCTTGCTTTTAAAAGACCACATGGTATTCCTTTGCATAACTGTGATACTTAATTCAATCCTACTCCTGTATTGATAGGCACTTGTCATGATTCCAACTTTTTGCTACTAAAACAGTAAACAATGATGCAATAAATATTCCTAGAATGTAATTTCATCTACATAAAAATATGTCTATAAGGTAAATTCCTAAAAGTAAAATTGCAAGATCAAAATGTACATGCATTTCTAAATTCTAATTCGGATGAATAGTAGGAAATTATCCTGCATAGGGTCTGTACCAATTTACACTTCCTATAGCAAATGATGAGCCCCTGTTCCCCCTTCACCTATACTATGCTATCAACCACTAAATTTGCCAGTCTGATAGATGAAAAAGGGTTTTCCATTGCAACTTAAATTGCAACCAAAGATCTTTCAAGGTTATGGAACTAGCAAAGGAGAACTGAGTCTGAAATAAAGAACTTGAATGTTTTTTTTCAGATCTGAATTCATTTGGTCTGTTTTTGCTCAAAAAACTGCCGCAGACATGAAACTCCAAAGGCCAAGAATTTATCACAGCCCAACCATCCTACTGGCATTCCTCATGAAACTCACTGTGGAAATACATTATTGGTTACAGTAATCAAATAAGGAGATCTGATTATAAGGCTCCACGATGTGCCTGCCATCTACGTGGTGTTTATTTTTCCTTGTATTTCAGCTGGAAGGTCAGACCTGCTGCTTTTCTGCCCTGCAAGTCTCCTCTCTGAGTACACCACTTATGTGTTCTCATCCTGATTGTGCTCCGGGTACCCAGGTGCAGGCAGAACATTAATATGCACACGCAGTTCAACTGGAGACTGTACCTTGTGCTCTTCACTATGTCCTTTAGGAGTAAGGGAGACCTTTAGCGGGGCCTCGGGCTGGGATGCAGTCAGAGCTGACATCTGCACAGATTTTTCTCAGCCCAGTTGAGCTCATCACTTGCTCCCTGAGGAGGCAGTAACTAATTCCAGGAACTGCTTGGAATTTTCCCCTCATTTACTGATATTTCCCCCTCACCCATGAAAAAACACACAGACAACCTTCCCACAAAGCTTTCCCATTTCCCTTGAGATTGTTAACTTATATATATTATGAACTGAATCCTGAGATACAGGGAATTCATGTTTTTGAAGGTTATATACTTAAAACACACTCTCAGACCATGAAGCTATGATTGCCTGTAATACACTGAAAGGAGATGAATCTTCGATTGAGCCAAAACTTACTCTTTAAATGCAACTAGAAGTACAACACCTTTAATCTCATAGACTAATGTGCGTTATTTTTGTAGTGAAAAAAAATTTTGAACATTTATTATGATTAACCGCATAAAAGAACAGGATCCAGTCCTGGCCAGTGTGGCTCAGTTGGCTGGAGTATCGTCTCATACACTGAAAGGTTTCGTGTCAGGGCACATGCCTAGGTTGTGGGTTCAATCCCCCAGTTGGGGCACGTACAGAAGGCAGTCAGTCAATGTTCTTTCACATCACTGTTTCTCTCTCTCTCTCTCTCTCCCCCTCTCTCCCTCCCTCCCTC